CAAGAAGTAAGGCATGTAGCAACATCAGCACGGCAAAGGGCACTCCTTTAAAAGGCAAGGAAGGGCAAAAATATTTAGAGTCAATTGATAGCGATTGCTGTATGAGTCGTACGATTTTTGAATCAAGCACGGGCAACGCCGGGCCATGCTGCTAGTCTATCCTATCATTTGGCTGTACCACTAAAAGCATGTTTTTAGAAACTCTCTCATTTCTTGTCTTTGGTGCAAAAGAACAAGAATTATAAACAGTATGAATATAAAAATAATCACTGCAGAATGATTGCCAGTTTCCCAACTTAATTTACTCTCTCTCTTGCTCTACCATATATATATATAAGGAATAAACTATGACAGAATGTAAAAAGATTTTGTGTGATGTGTTTTGACCTTTAGCAATTTACTAAGATGTAAATGTGTAGAAAGTGCTTTAATTACAATATCATCCACTGTAAATTTACATCCAAGTTCATTTCACCTTTCTTGATAAATCTTCTATCATGATGATGTGGAATATTTAATCAGGAAAGTGATGGAAACAGAAACAAAAAGAAACTAAATGAAATTGACTAGACTATAAACCCAAACACATATACTTAAAAAATCTTGTTAAAATCTTCAGCATCCTCTGTGTGATGTGTAGCTACATCAAGGTAAACATCACTTTTATCCGATGAAGCCCTAAATGCTGAAATGCATCATATGAAACCTTTTTCCAAGTTGTCATATTTTTTTCTCTAAAATTGTCTTTTATATATAGAAATTTATACATCATTTTCCCATATATTTTCCCTGATGGTCGAAACCAAGGTTTTGTGTGGTTACATAAAGTGTTTTTGCCCCTTTATTATATTTATTTGCACTGCAAGTCCTTTTTTAAGGCATCTGCATCAAGCACATTTTGATATATGTCCGTTTTGTGGTATGGTATTTTTCTGGCCCCTTAACAGATTTTTTTATATATATTTATACTCTCATAATAATTCAGTTGAAAATATATATTTGTTTATATGTATTTATGCTCTCAAAATAATTCAATTGAGCTCTCGGAGAGGAAGGTGTGATTTTATAAACAGTGACTGCTGCTGCTAATGAAATGCTCTTCAACTAGAATTGAGCTCTCATGATACTGACGTCTTTCGTATAGTAAAAGCGTTAAAATTTTCTTTACTTTCTGCTGTGTGACAATAGCTTGTGGGTAGAATATCTGACTAATGCAAAATTGGTTGGGTTTTGATCCCAGCTTGAAGCAATCAAGCCAAACTGATGGGCTGTGATACAGCAAAACATTCTGTATGTGGATGACATATATATATATAGTCACTAGGGGTTTATATGAAACAGGGAAGTGGGAAAAACAGGTTTTCTCAGTTTTTTATTAAGGCTGTTTTAAGATATTTATAAACCTGTCCTTGAATTTGATTATTTTTGTCTTTTTTATTTTTATTTATTTATTTTATGTTTTTAGATTCTTTCTTCCACTCCAAAGTTTTGTATTTGCTTTAAAAGAAAGTTTATTTGTTTCAAGTTATAGGTTATTAGAGACTACACAAAAAAGAATAACACATTATTTCATGATTGCTTGACATATGAAACTGTCAGTCACCATGCAGTGTTGATTTCTGTTTCTACATTATTTATATCTAGAAACTCTCCCTTACAAATATAGCACATTTAAATTTATATATATATATATATATATATATATATATATATATATATTAGTAACTGTTTTTTTTGTCTTTTCTCTCTAAATATCTGTGAGATCATTGCTCATTCTTGTCTTTCTATGCATGAATAAAGATTTAAGATTTTACAAGCATTGATGGCTGATGACAGGAAAACTTCTGTGATGGCTGAAGGAGAACCTGTGGCAAACAGAAGGAGCATGTCTTTTATGGTGCCTCTCTCTTTTACTTTAACTCGACAGTTTCCTTAAGAGCAAACATGACTTTTCAGAATCAATTGACTGGTTACTTGGCAGAAGTTGATAGTACAGAATTCTTTTCCAATCCTACCAGATGCATAGCATTACTTTCTTAGGGTGGAGACCCACTCTTGAGGTATCTAAAGTTGGAGCTTGTCGCTTCCCCCAGGAATTTTTCACTGAACATTGCTGTAAATGAACTGCTTCTCATCACACATCACAATTTGCTTCAAAAAAAGGGTGCATTTTCATTACAGAAAATCACAGATGAAATTTGACCCAAAAGATTCTTTTCACTCAAATCATGCGGTACCCAAGCATTGTAGCGATTTGAGTACCCAAGCTTCACTAACTTCTCAGGGATGGTGGATTTTAATAAATCTAGTGTTTCTGCCAATTCTCACATTGTGTAATGTATGTTATTCTCAATCAATGACTTCATTTGGTCTTCATCTGTAACAGGGAGGGGTCTGCCTTAGCATTCTTCATCAATAAAGCTACAATCACTAACTCTAAATTTAGCAAACCACTTCCATACACTTCTGTCAAGTGTCTAAAATGCACCTTATAATCTTCCATTTTCATAAGAATCCAAAATTGACCAGAATTAAGTAATTTTAAACTTTCTTTCTCAAGACATTGTTTGATGTGTACTCTAATCAGAAATGTAAGCTTTTTATAAATGTTGATAAATTTGACATGTTGGAACATGGATGACTAAAAATTGGCATGAACTTTTTGGAAAAACACAATAATTTGTTTATTATTTACTTAATTTGTTTATTTATTTTTTAAAATTTTACTTTAATTGTTATCTTATGATATTTTTATGGTCTATCTGTAATATTGAGCACTTTTATTCCTAAATATGGCATACGTGAAAAGTATATTTTTACCCTATATATATAGGTTTCATCTCTGCCGGAGGACACATTTTCTTTACTTAAATTTCACAAATGCCAGTCTATCCACACATATCATTTTGATTATAGTAGTGAAGGCATGTGCAGAACCAACCAGACATTTTTTGGGGAGAGCTGATTACAGAAAACTAGTGCACAGTATGCCACAAGATCCACAAATGTCCCTCCACAGGTTTTGAATTCAGAGTTATTCTTCTGGTTGACCAGTTGCCACCCAAGGTTACAGAACCCAGTCTATACTGCTATTTACCCACAGTTGGGATAAAAAGAGATTAATTCATATCTTTCCCAAGGGTATTAGCACGTAATTGAAAATAATGAACCCAACTGGAATTCAAACTCTGAGATTCATCAATCCAAGCTGCTATTCATCACACACACACTATATATACTATATATATATATATATATATATATATATATATATATATAATGTATGTATGTATAAAGGGTGTATAAAAAATTAAAAGTTTATGAAATTAAAAAAGGCAGAAAGTTTTTCTCCTAAAATGGAGTCAAGTTATGGTTTAATCTTGAAAATAATCCTTTCTTCATATTTTGGGAATTATAATTGCAATAAAAAAAAATACATTCATTTGTCTCAGTAAGTTGTTGAGTCCAAAATATATGTGTCTTTTTAAGTTCGGTTGTGGGATTGTGCAATTTCTAGTATGCACAAAAAAGTATAATTTTAGCTAAACATGATGATGACAATGCAGACTTTTAGGTTTACCATAAAAAAAAAAAATTTCTTCTTTTTTCAATTTTCATTATATATATATATATATATATATATATATATATATAAAGGTCAATACACAACACCCATAACCTGACAAGTTTTTTGATCTGAAAATTTCACTGTATAATGCTCATTTCCATAGTTAATGGAAAAGCTTTGAATTAAAAGAGTTTATATAAAAGATAAATATTTGTTATATAAATGATTTTTTTTCATCATTACGTTGTAGATATATTGCTATACAGACACACACACACAAACATGTATATGTATGTGTGTGTGTGTATATATATATATATATATATATGGGAAAAATGTATGACAGAGTTGTAAAAGTTTTCTTGTGATACGTTTTGTTATTTAGGACTTCATCAGACCAAATTTGTCATGTTGGTGCGACTACATGTGCGCACAAATGAGAGATGCTGGAAATTTAAATTGTTTTGTTTTTTGAGCAAATTTAGTCTGATGATGTCTCCTCCTAAAAAATGAAACACATTACAACAAACCTTTTTCTACTGTCTCATACATTTTTCCTCCCAATATTGTTCTTAGCATATAAAAATATATATCATTATCTCATTCATTCATTTATATATATATATATATATATATATATATATATATATATATATAGTTATATATTGGGTAGCAAAAAGTGTTTAATACATTGGTTTTTTATGAATTTCACAATAAAAAATTGTTCAATTTGAAAGATACTTACTTCAAATATTTTAATGAACATTGTCAAACTAAACATAAAGGAAAATTGTTTTTTATGTACTTTTATTGCCAATTTTCAAATTTGACTTAAGACAGTAGTGATTGGAGAAGCATCATCTTGGGAGTTTCTTCTACAGTTTTGGTGAAGAGCTAAATAGTTGAATTCCTCCTTACTAATGGAATATGCTTAGAAATATAGAAATTTTTATAAATAAAGAAGCAAAAAAAATTTAAAAATTGCACATAAAAAAACAAAAATTATAAAACAGTAAATATTTTCAAATAAAGTTTAATTTTTTCGGCAAAAAGAATCTAAAATGTTTTTTTCTTTTTTTTCTTGGCTTCTTAAATAAGTGAATTATTTAAAGACAGTAAATTGAGCTCAGAAGTTCAAAATTTGACATAAAATTATGCAATATTTACTTTCCATAATGTTTTGAGCTTAATTTAACACAGGATGTTAGAAAATAATTTCACTCTTTTTTTTTTCAATATGTCAAATTCTGCAAGCAATATGTAATGATGACACAAGAATTCAATTATAAAAATCATAACATTACCATTCTCTGGAATGAATAAATAATGGTTATTATACTCCACCAGAATTCCATGAGAGTGAAAGAAAAGCAAAATAATTACTTATTGGTTTGATTGAAAAGAAACATTTTTTTCTGAAAGGAATTTTTACCTTGCCATATTGCACAAGTCATCCATTAGTGTTGCCCGGTCTTCTGGTTGAAAAACCTATCAAAATAAAAATAATTATTAAATAACAATAATGAAATTATCAATTAACCTTTATAAAAATTTTTCTAATTAACCAAATTATTTCTTCTAAAAACAAAAACTCAACCAAATTATCTAAATTTTTAGATAAAATATTTTCCCATTGTCAAATAATGGCTAGTTTTTCTTTTTCCTTACTAATATTTTTTTATCACATGGTCATTACATTATGCAAATATTAAATAAGCAGATTAGTTAGGGGTTATTTCCTTCTTGTCCAACCGACAATGCTTCATTCTTTCTTGTTCAATACATAATGCCAACTATAATCTCTATAGAATCTAACACCTTAAGCATTTTTAACAAAATCAAAAATAAAAAGATAAGCAAAACTGTTTTTGTGTCTATTTTAATATAAAATTTTTGGGAAAAATGTATGACAAAGTGCAAAAAATTTTCTCGTGATGCATTTTGTCCTTTAAGATTTCATTGGACTAAATTTGTTTCTGTTGATGCAACAAAAGATTTCATTGGACTAAATTTGTTTCTGTTGATGCAACAAAAGATTTCATTGGACTAAATTTGTTTCTGTTGATGCAACAAAAGATTTCATTGGACTAAATTTGTTTCTGTTGATGCAACAAAAGATTTCATTGGACTAAATTTGTTTCTGTTGATGCAACAAAAGATTTCATTGGACTAAATTTGTTTCTGTTGATGCAACAAAAGATTTCATTGAACTAAATTTGTTTATGTTGATACAACTACACATGCACATGAATGAGGCATGCTGGGAATTAAAATTTTATTTTTTATCTAGCCGATTTCATTTAGATTCTTTTTCTTTTTACCACTGTTGTTAATAGATAGCCAAAGTCCTAAACTATGAAACGCATCACAAGAAAGCTTTTTCCCCACTTTGTCATATATTTTTCCCCAATATTGTTCTTCATATATCAAAATAGATATCATTACCTCAGATAAAATTTTACCAATTTCCACTTAAACTTGGATTAATTAATTTTGTCTTTCTCTGATCTGTTGGTTTGTAGCATCAAAAGAAAATGTCATCTTTTACCAGGTCTTTTTTTTTTGTTCTGGCTTTTTAGCCAAACATCATTAATCATATCAAATATCAAAATGAAGGACAAAATGTTAAATATTCTAGATTGGCTGTAAAAAAAAAAAAAAAATGCATTCAAAATTATGACCAAAAATAAGAATCCACGGAATGAGATGTGTCTGAGAAAATGCTTTGACTAGAATGTTCTAAACAAAACAATGAAAATGTTAGTCTTAATAATTCATGCAATTAAACTGATTTCAACAAAATATTTTTTAGTTTATATAAAATGAAAGCAAACAAAAACCAATATCTACTAATAAAGTTAATATGAACCAACAAGACTACAATGAAGACACTAGTCAAAATAAACATGTCTATATCTATAATTCTCAGATTGTGTTTGTGTGTGTGTGATCAGATGTTGTTTATGCATTTCTACAGTTTTCATCTGATTTTGATGAAATTTTTTTTGTTTCATAGATAATTCTTCGGTGCCAGTTTTGAGTCCAAATTGTCTGGAAAAAATTACAACCTTGAAGGTGAAAAATTGAAAATCTTTAATCTTTTTTCAGCTGACTTTAAACTTAAACTGCTTGAACAGCAAAAATCCCCAGTAATGAAAGACCCAGTCAAAGACTGGTTATACTGCTAGTATTAGTATTAATATATTATTTAAAATCTTGAAATAATTTTACAACTGTTTGTTCACCAACAAAAATCTAAATAATTTCTTTTTTCAACTAACAGAATTCAGAATACAAAAGCAGAAAAAAATATTTTTTCTTAATTATTAAAATGAATTTCTGGGATGAGAAATTATTCTTTACATTCTGTCTAATGTCCTCATCTTTGTTGTTATTATCACAATATTTCGGCTGTTATGCCCTCTGGCCTTCTTCAGGTTGAATTTAGAGTCAAGTACCTTTCAAGGAATTTTAAAATGAATCCATCATTTAATCTACAGATTTAGATTGTTTTCATTCCACTGTTCATATCTAGGGATATCTTGCCAGGTTCTTTTTTTTAGACCTGCTCAATTATTATTGTTTTCACAGAGTCTGAATCTGTACCACCCAGCACAGAAATTGAACTCAATTACTATAAGACCAAATTCACAAACCACTCCTTTAATCCACTAACACTGTAGCTTAAAGGATTAAAGTCTTGATCCATTAATCTGCTGGCATTTTAACAGACATAAGCAGTGACAGTGGAATAAGAACAGTTTTTCCCCATAGGGTTCAGGTAATTTACCTGGATTGTTAGACACATGAAGAATCACACATCAAAGATGATGATGATATTATTCTAAATGTATCACATACACTTGTGGGTATAGTGCAAGTTTTTTATGATCAGTTAAAAGGTCATTTTTTTGAAGAGGTTAAAAATCAGGCATTTTCAGTGATCGGTTGCACAACACAGAGGTAATTTTTTTCTGGAAGGGTTAAAATTCATACATTTCTGATGACCGTAACCTACTTGGTAAGCCTACGTTCTCATGATACCTTTGGCTAAACTTAATGGACAGAAACTTAGGCTACATAAGTGGCAGGCCCAGTGTAAAGGAGCTACCATAGTCAGGTATGAACGAAAACAAAAGTACAGTATCTAAATTTTTGTATAAGATATTTTACAGTATGTGGTTTTTCTCACTATTTTGGGGTATTTTTGTACCATTATACCATTTATTTGCTATATATTATATCCAGGATAACACCCAGTACTGCAATATTTGACTATGGTAGGACTACTAGTATTGCTCAGAAGCTGGGGTCACATTATCTACGAGCTGTATGAAAAATATCAGGTTTTTCACAAAAAATATTCATACATGCAGTAGACTCATACACAAGTACATATGGCAAATGATGTAAATAATGGATAGTTATGTTCCACATTTATTTTTCTTTGCTAAAAATGTACACTTTAGTTTTTGTAATGAAATCCTGCATACACGCAAGAAAGACTGAAGTAGGAACAAAATTCTATGGTAAAAAACAATACATATATTATTTGACAAATTATTTGAACTGACATCCTCATTTTTGCTGTTTTTATCACTGTATTTTGGTTAATGCATCCTTCTACATTCTTTGTGTGTGTGACTGTCTTTTTCTCTCTAATAGATGCAAGTAGAACAGTAAATAATCTAATTACCCAAGCACAAATTTACAAAAACAATGACTATATCATTTTTTTTTTTAAAGAATGCCCTAATCCAGTGGTTCTCAAACTTTTTTTTACTGGGCCACATTTTCAGAACAAAAATTTGATCACACCTCACCAACTTTTATGTGATAAAAAGTACATTTAAAAATAAAAAAAAAAAAATTGAAGGTTAAAGGGAGCTAACTATGGATTTGAAGTCAGAACATTATCATTGATAACTCTCTCCTCCAATTTGCAGATCCTAGTTACTATATTTTTAGTACTTGATATAATGCAAAAATATCACAATGAAAAAATCGGTCAATAATTATTTATAACTATTTATACTGGGACTCATGCATGCAATTACAATAATAATATTTTAAATTTTGAAATTATATTTATTTTTGGAATATGAATATTTTTAAGCTGTTTCTAATTTTTTGATTTTCTTTGTATCATTCCATCTCACCTGCTATCTTCTTCTGTTTGGGAAGCACTGCCTTTTCTCTCTCTCAAGTGAGTGGAGCTACAAATATTTTGATTTCCAGTGCATTAATGTATACAGCAAATATGATGATGACACTTGTTTGAATGCCAAGCTTTTTATTATCTATTCATTCAGTTACTTTCAGCAATGGTAATACTATTATTTATCCATGTTTAAAATAGGTGGATTCTACATGCTGAAATTTTATGATGGAGTCAAGGTACAAAGCTATCACTGCTTTCATTCTAATTCCAGATCATAGTTTCCAATTTGGAAATATTAATTTAGAGTTCTATTTCTTAGAACCCTTGGTAGAGGATGTTGATTTTGTTTTTGTTCAAGATCATTCTTATCTCACCTATGAATACCTATGTCATCAGCAGAGCCTCCATCATCACCAGCACATTGGCCTAGTAAATAGATTCATTTAGGATGTGATAAAGAATGTTTAAATAATCAGGGCCCATCTCATCACATCTATTTATGGTAGTGTGGAATGTCAACAGTTTCATTATTTTCTTTTCAATTTACATGTGGTTCAAGTTATTTGTTTGTGAATCCTGAGCACAGCCAATTCTATTTTCAATTGTCTAATTTTCCTAACTGATCTAGATGCATTTGAAATGTTTAGTATATACTAATTCCACATCCTGAATTTTAATAATGGATTCAGAATGCATGCCATCACTGCCTTCAATTGAAGATCAAAAATTGTTTTAGAAAAGGTTATCTTCAATCCTATACCTTGGAAAATTTGATAGAGTATGTTTTCATTTTGATGATGGATTCAGGGTAGGTGCCATCACTGTTTTCATTCCAATTCTTGATCATATTTTCCAATTTGAAAAGCTTTATCTTGAGTCTTATTTCTTGGAGCATTTGATAGAGAATGTTAATTTTTTTTTTTTGTTAAGGCCTTTTCTAAGATTTGATCAACTTCTACTCATAGTTGTTGTTCAGTTGTTCAGACTATTTACGTTGTTTGGAAAGTTGGCCTCATCTTTGTTACCATATTCATGACAATTTATAGTGATTGGAATTTGGAACTGAACTCTTTATATTGTCCACATAGATAGATTGTTCTAGTTCCATGTGTCATGCCTCTTCTAGATGTCAATTATTTCCCTTTAACTCAACTCTCTAAGTTTTTGTTCACCTCAGCTGTAGTCACATATTGAACTCCCAACTCTTTGTGTAAAATCACTGAATTCAACCAATGTTTTTATCCACTGGGCCAATGATGGAGTTATAAATCTAATGCCTCAGTTCATTTTTTTTTTTTTTTTTTACCAAAGCTCATATTACAATTTT